CTCAGATTAGAGCCCAGATAAATGCCACACAGAGTTCCAGGAGCAGACACATCTCTACATCAACTGTTAAGAGGAGACTGTGTGAATCAGGCCTTTATGGTCAAATAGCTGCTAAGAAACTACTACTAAGGAAAAACAACAAGTAGAAGAGATTTGTTTGGGCCAAGAAACACAAGGAATGGGCATCAGACCAGTGGAAACAAGTGCCTTGGTCTGTTGACTCTAAATGTAAGATCTTTGGTTGCACTCGCCGTGTCTTTGTGTGACGCAGAAAAAGTGAATGGTCTCTACATGCATGGTTCCCACCGAGAAGCATGGAGGAGGTGTGATGGTGTGGGGGTGCTTTGCTGGTGACACTGTTGGAGATTTATTCAAACACCTCCAGGCTGTGTAAGGGCTGTTTGACGAAGAAGGAGAGCGATGGAGTGCTGCACCAGATGGTCTGGCCTCCACAATCACCTGACCTGAACCCAGTGGAGATGGTTTGGGATGAGACTGACTGCAGAGTGAATGCAAAAGAACCAGCGAGTGCTCCGCATCTCTGGGAACTCCTTCAGGTCTGTTGGAGAACCATTTCAGGTGAAATGGCATTCAGCTCAACGAGAAAATTCCAAGCTTGTGCAAAGCAGTAATGTGCTTTCATAGTTTTGATGCCTACAATTTAAATACTCATGAAAATAAAGAAAAAAAACATTAAATGAGAAGGTGTTTTCACATTTTAGACTGGTAGAGTATGTTGGTATATGTTCCGCTGGCACAGAATATTTATGTTTTGTGCAGTGTATAAAAACAGTGGACGTCTTTTAATTATTTCCACACATTTATATCGTTTTTACTCAGTGTGCATTGGTGTGTTTCTTGAGGCTTTATTTTAACTCCAATTTAAAGAGGAAGTTTGTGTCACGGTCTCTGTAAAATGAGCTTTTGTGCAAATTATGCAGGGTGAGAGTTTTAATGCAGACAGTTGATTCTGCTCATCTGAGCGCAGCATTTTCAGTTGGCTGGAGAAACCTGCAGACGGCCGACTTCTTCTGTCTGCGGGGACCGAAGAGGTCACCTGGACGAGCGAGAACACGTTTCTCCCACTGGAAACACTGAGCCCTGACAAACAGAGTATCTGCAGCACACAAGGTGAGCATATCCATTCAGAAGACTTGCAATACATGCTTGTTTCTTGTTGCTCATACAGACAAGTGGCAAATTAAAGGAAAAAACCAGAACCACTGAACCCTACAGAGGGGGAACTCGCTGTAGGCCCCTGCAGTGGTGATCCACTTCAAATCAATACAAAGTTATGCAGAAACATCAGCTTAATGATTAAATATTTTTGTCCTGGTGGGAGTGGGCTCTTCCCCAACCACTGAAAGGTCTTAAGAGGGTGAAAATGATGCAAACCACACGCTGTAGCCTTTGCCACAGTATGCGACTCAATCTGATCTCAATCTAATTGATCACTAATCCATGTGGGACTTTGCCCTCGACCATTATCATCAAAAAAACAGATAAGGGAAAATAATTTTTTTACAGTAAATATGGTCTTGCCCAAATCAGAGATTTAGAGAGTTGCTGCCAAACAGCACTAATGGTGTCTGTGGAGGCCCAACGCTCCGTTTCAAACACTTCATTCTGGTTCTTCCATTCATTTGCCACTGGTTAGTGTGCCATGAAAAACAGCTGGTTGGTTTCTATCAGCAGGTTGAAGTCCAGATGTGGTGTGTGTCCTGAAAAGTCAATAAATGATGTTGATCGCAATGCTTCTTTGTGGCGCTCAGGCCTTGGACTCAGTCAGGTCCTTCCTGTGTGATCTTTTGTGCTGAGCTGGAGTTGTTCTTGTAAGAGGTCTGTTTGTTTGCCTAAAAGACAAAGCGTGATGTATTTTCATACAGTAACATTTACATCAATTATCTATTCTCGGTTCAACAGGACTCTCACCTGGAGGCTCCGGCTGCTGGAGTTGTTCTCATCCCGCTGGCACAGCAGATGTCGTGGTGCTTCATCGGGGCTGCTGCCTGAGCTACGCACATCTCCCAGATTCAAAAACAGAATTTTGGACACCAGACAAGTCACAGACAAGCACGTGCTCCTCAGTACAGACCAGCCGTTTAACATGAAGGACGGGATTTGTCCCACTAAACACGGAGGGGACGTCACGGACAGCTTCAGGACGCTCGCAGAGATTTCACTCGTGTCTTTAACCAAAGCGCTTTTGCGGATGTGTGCAGGATCTTTAATCTGAATTATTTTAGAGCATTTATTATTTCCAGACAGTCTGCTCGCTAGTACGCGCACCAGCGCAGGCGCAGCTGAGTGCGCGTGCGCTGGAGATTGCGAAAGTTTTGGGTAACGTAATCCACTCACTTCCCTGGAAACTTTACCCCCCACTCTGTCCGACCTGTACGAAACAATCAGCCTTCTTCCCACCAGGACCACCACACACTCTCCGTGTGGAGAAGCCTCCGCCGCTGACGCCTGGTGTGAGCCGCTGCGCTCGAACGGAGAGTCGCGCAGCGCCCCGCCGGCCAGTCCTAGGCCGTACGCCGAGCTGGCAGGCCGCTTGGCCGGCGGATTCCTCGTCCAGATATTCCCCCGGCACCGGAGAACAGCGGACAGGGCAGAGGCCGAGGGGGTGGAAGCCATGGTGATCGGTAGCGTCCACGTCTCTCCTCCTTGACGCCAGCCTCCGTCTAAACACTCACATAACCTTCAGAGGTTTATTTGCGTAAGGAGCGGGTCAGAGGAGGGTGGGGGGTTTCTTCTAGTCTGGTCCACGCGACTATATTTGCCTCGACTGTGACAGTGGGGGGTTCGTGTGGGTGTGTCTTTAGGCCAGAGCAGAACAAGCAGCTACTTTACACCCCGGAGTGGAAACACTGGATGAAAATGAGACAGATTTAGCAGGTACTCGGATGCAGAGGGACTGGGAGACAAATGCAGTTTAGGTTTTTGAAGTAAATCAAAAATGGGCACAGTTTTGAATCGATCACTCAATCGAGTGATCGATTTATACGATCTATTTCTTCTCCTAAAAATAAAAAAGTAGTAGTGTGACACTTGAAGATCTGAGAACCGGTCACAGGGGGGCATCGCGGGTCACAAAATTCTACATGAATAAAAACTTCTGTTAATAAATAAAAAGTGACTCTGAAGAAACGCACAAAACAGCAATAAACAAGTTTCACCTACTGAATATTCTTTTTTCTCTTTTCCTTTATCATTTAATGTGGAAATAGTATAGTTTGCACTTCAATTTCATTTCAGTTAATTTATTTCATGTAATATGTTTAAATGCTATTTTTTTAAACTAATGTAAAGTTTTTCCAGACTAACCTTTGGTCGTTACGTTCGTTATAGTGACCTTGGTCAGGACAATTACATAATAGTTTGGGCTGGACAATGAATACAAACATAAACGCAAACATTTATTGAGAGCACTTCCTGAAGGGGGCGCTACAGGTTAAGCTAAAATGCCCTCAAAAAAGATTTTATAAAGATTTCTGTACTGTGTAAACTTTATTGTCCAACTTTTTTAAAAAGCAATTCATACCGTTTCTGTAGTGCTGTTGTATAATGTTACAAAGGTTTGAGTAAGCTGAGCCCACACAGTCCTTGCTGTAAGCTTTTCAGGATTTAGGCTGGAGTGACATTTCTATTAGACTCAGCACATGTTGTTGTGTTTTCCCCTTTGTTTATCAGATTTAATACAGTTCATTTCTGATGAAGTGATGATTTTAAATATTTGTTAAATCCAGACAGTTTAAAGTGGTCTTTGCCATTGGAAATAGCTGGATACTGTTAAGACATGGTTTCCAGGAAAGACGGGGTACAGGTTTTTAAGTATTTCTCTTTTTCATGTGTCAGATGTTATGACCCAGAATGGACACTATTACTATTTTAACTACACCCCTCTGGGACGTTGCCCAGTGTCCCCCAGGAGGAGCTCTGGGTGAGTGGACGCTCAGTGGGTTAAAGGTCAACACTGATCCTCCGGGTCAGTTATGAGTCTCTCTTGAAACCCCTGACTAAGTCGATACCTTAGAGCTTATCGCCGGGGTGGTACGCTCTAAAGTGTGACTGTTTCTGGTTTGTACTTTACAGAAAGAAGTTTTGAACTTTTACTTTTAAAATCATTCGTTGCAAATATACATAAGAGTCACAGAATGAAACCTGTCACACTGACTCAAGAGAAATGTCTGTGGTTTTGTACAAAAGACTCACCTGCAATTCTTAACACCGGAATTTTTAATTCCCTGCTGCCCTGTACGAACATTTCCCATCTGACATCACTCACTTCTTTACTTCTTTCTGCTGAAGTTAAAAAGCCTGATCCTGAAACAGGCCATCAAATTAACGTTTTCCATGTGCTGATTTTAAATGTTTTTTCACTCACTGCTTGTTGCACACATTCCTGATCCACCCTACATCAAAGTGATGGATGACATGCTGCAACTGATCCTCCCCAATCAGCCAGAAAAATGCCACAAAGGGCGTGACGCCCATGTTTGTCAAACAGGCTTGTCATCCTAAAAATCCCGATATGCACAGCTGAGAGGAAGTTGCTCAACCCACCCAGTTAGCAGGTGTGTTTACACGGTTAAAGGGGATCAGGTGTCTAAATGAAGCATGAGGGCTTCTGAAAAGAAATAAGCAGCAGGTGTGTATCAGTAGAGGACAATCTCAAATATGCCTTTATTTGATGGATATGTTGAGAAATACTTGCAAATATATAAATCATCTGTGGCATCTGTATGTACAATGGGTTTGGACTATAAACAAAATTAGTTAAGAACTATAAACTCTGGTTTGCGAGATCAGCGTTCAATCCAGAGATCTTCCCAACCTTTCATCACAGAGTGTAGTGCATCTCAACATTTACAGCTTACTTGATCTGTGCACAAGGTTCCTTTATTGTGTTCAGCCGCTCTCACGGTGAACACAAACGCCTTCAGAAAAGAATAAAAACAGGAAACAGATCCGTCCCTTTTCCTTCATGTGCACCTGCCAGTTCTTTTGTTTTTAAAAAAATGTTGCTCTCCTGGTTTTCCTTCATTTCTCCACGTGACCCAAGCTTGAAGGAGCTCAGTTTGTACTTCACCATTATAAACACAAGGTGTGCAAAGTGGAACAAGGGTCACTGGAAGTTTTGTGTGATTCTCTCTCCTTGTCCACTTCATCTCCCCAACCATCACCCTCCACAGTCCTGTCCTTGACATGGACGCATCTCTAGTTCATGGATTTTGTTGTGAAGTGTTGTTTGATTGTGGACGTGGGGGACGAACGTTGTTCAAGGACACAGTGGGTATGATCACAAAAGCCAGAATTCCCACCAGCATGAGCGCCACAGTGATGGTGATGATGGTCGCAACCACTGCGTAGTAGCACTGATCTGAACGGAACATCCTGCGCAGGCGACCTCTCATCCTGCTCGGAGGTCTGCCTACATCCACCACAGTGGTCGGGGTGATCCCCTGCTCCATTGCACTTAGCTGGAGGTTCCTGCTTGGTGCCGCCTGAGTGTCTTGACTCTTGGTAGGCAGACTGACGACATTAGGCCTGCTCGGGCTGTTGGGAGGAGGGTTCTTCAGCATCAGCTTACCCTGGCTGCGCTTAAAGCGGATGGACAGCGCCCGCTGCATATCTGAAGGGAGTTTGCTGATGATGTCCCGATTGTTTCCCAGACGGGGCAGGTCCCGGCCGCGAGGGAGCTCAGTCACCTCTCGGCACACGGGGCAGGACAGGGCCTTGAGCTCAGGTGAGGTGACGTTGATGCGAGCCAGGCACTCCAGACAGAAGGTGTGCCCGCATGCCAGCAGCTTTGGGGTCTTGAAGACATTATCGTAAGTGCAGAAGCACACAGCGCACTCTGTGTCCTCCACGTCATTTTCAGGGGGTTTCATCCTCCTCCGATCGCTCTCTCCGTCTCTCTGGCGCCGCCCACGGCCCTCCTCGCTCCTTCCACGATGCCTCCTTTCTCCACGGTTCCTGTCTGACTCTCTTCTCCTCCCTCTTTCCGTCCTCTCAGAGTCAGAACTCCTCGATCTCCTCACTCTTGATGATTTCTCTTTTTTCCGGTGCTCCTCCTTGCTGTTCCTGTCATTCTGTCCGAGTTTGGGTTTGACGTTAGGGGCCTGGGGCTGCCTGGCTCCATGGCTCTCTTCGGCCCTGCTGTTTCCCTCCCCACCATCACTCATACTGGAGTGATGTCAGAGGTAAAGTGCCGTCTGGAATTTGACTCCTAACAGTTTCCCAACAGCTGCTGTGGAAAATTAAACCTCAGATGAGTTTATTGGCTCCCAAAAACAAGCAGAGCAGGAAGTAAGCCACAGGAATTTACCTGCAGTCACCACTGCTGCTTCACGGTGATGAAGCAAGAACGCCTAATCGCTGGCTGACATCTCGATTGTATTGAAATGCTGTTGTTATTCAACATGTATGTGCTGCTTTAGTCTTGACAATTGATAAGTTGCTATATTTGTTTAGTAGGTTTTCCTGCACAGAAATTGTGAGGAAACATGAGCCGGGAGTGCGTCAAGTGGAGGCTGGACTTCTGAGAAGCAAAACTGGGATTTCTTTGTAACGCTGCAGCAAATTTTCATTGTACCCAGTGAATTTACTTTTTTTTTTTAAAGTTTTAACACCAACAAGAGGCTCAGAATTCACATTGTTCACATTTGTTTAAAAAAAAGCAGCTCAGACATGTTGGCAAAGTTGCAAGAATTCCCACTTCAGACTTTTTATGATTTCATGACTTTTGAATGGAAGCTGGTAAGTAAAAAAGAATTTGTGCACACTGACCTGTGAGGTAGATGACTGCCGGATCAGTTCGTCAGAGTTGATCTGACATGTAATCCAGTCGTGTCAGTGCAGTCAACACTGCTCATGACTAAACGTCATAACTAAAAACAGTGATTGTTTTGATCTCCCTGCTTCCCTCTTCTGTTCTTATCTTTGCTCTTATATCTACTTTTCTAATTGAGGACTCAGCATTGTCTCCTCCTCCTCTGAACCCTCCCCCCTTTGCCACACCTCCTCCCGCCCTCCTTTTTCTCGTCAGACCAGTTCAACCAGCTGCTATTGTTTTCATTCGTTTCTCTCTCTGTGGATTTTATAGATACTTTAGTTATTTACTTAAATGACCCCATGTGGCCACTCACACTGAAAGAAGATGCATGAAAATGACATTGCACCCCAGAGAATCAAACTAATGTCTCCCTCGTGTGCAGACTAACCCCATGTCACATATCAGATCAGGTACCTGTAGCATCACATGATAGAAGCACGTCTTGTCTCGCTGTTTCTGATTCTTAGTGTGATACAAGTCATGACAGACAACAGTCACCGTCAGGAAAATTCCACTCTGGCTCCATAAAGAGGATGACAATGCATCTTTGTGAACATACAGCATATCAGCATGTCATATTTGTCATTCCTCTGCCACAGTCTTGTCACTTCATGGTTTTACAACTCAAACAAGATCAGCTACATAGCTTTTCCTCACTCCACAGGCCCACAGGTACTCACTCTGTGCCTGAGAGCCGCACAGCTCGAGACAATAACTACACCAGATTCAAGTCTTTGACATTAAATGCTCAGGATTTTCTATGAGTCTGTTGTGGCCAGTGCAACCCTCTACGCCGTTGCATGCTGGGGGGAGTAGATTGAGGGTTGCTGATACTAACAGACTCAAACTGATCTGCAAGGCCAGCAATGTTGTAGGGATGGAGCTGGACTCTCTTGAGGTGGTCTCGGAGAGGCGAATGTTGTCCAAGATAAAGACAATGTTGGATAATTCCTCCCACCCACTCCATGACGTGCTGGCCAGTCACAGGAGCACGTTCAGTGAGAGACTGAGATGACCAAAAAGCACCACTGACCGACACAGGAACTCACTCCTGCCTGTGGCTCCCTGTACAACTTAACACACTGTTTACTGCAATAGCTGCACCCTTTTGCACATCATGCTCTTCTTTCTTATTCAGCTATTTATCAATAAGTGACTTATATGTATGTATATATTGTGCCATTTCTTACTTTGTGTATTGTCTGTCTTTGTTACTGTTTGTACTGGAGCACTGTAACCAAAATATTTTCCCTTATGGATCAATAAACTACTCTGAGTCTGAAGATTAACAGTGCAGCACAACTGCACATCGTAGAGTTGTGTTTGTCAAACAGCTCAACAATCTTCTGAAAATACGTCACGCTTTATATAATAAAAACATGAACGCACATAAAAGTCAGCATTCCTTTGCCAGGTAGCGTAATACACCTTGTTTTGGCTTAAACAATCAAATAAAATACGCCCCTTACAAACCAGAGGCCTTTCTGACATTAAAACTTCTTCTTCCGATTGTGACTTTCCTGAAAATAAAACCAGACGAGCAAACAAGTTGAAAAGGCTGCAAATACTACTGCGATGAGTAATTATTAAGCTGAAAAACAAATCGATTGTAAAACTTTATTGCCATAGAAAAATAGACCCAAAAAAAAAAAAAAGAAAAGGAGCCTCACACGTGAGCGTGCTTTAATCGGGTGCCAGCTGTGACAGTTTGACACAGAGCGAATAAGCGAGCGGTCAAAGCACAACAGTCTCGTGCCGATTCACAAACCAGCTGGTGAGTCCGCACTGCTGCCATCAGAGCGGGAAACACAGATCCAAGCGTGTTCGCTTTTCCTTTTTGGAGACCCTGCCCTGCCGGCTGGTTGATGATTAAACCAGAGTCGGTGCGTGGCCCACTTCTCACTCGACCTTTCTCTCTTTCCGTTTTGAAAATAGAAACTTGTTTGAAAATACTGGTGTGATTTGAATAATGCGGGTCAAATTTCGATCGCTGTCAAAAAACAAGTTACAGCTTAGAAACATGGTACGTTTTCCATTTTCACTCAGACTCGTGCGCCTCGTCCTGTCACCCTGTCCTGAGTGAGAAGCACTTTTTGTTTCATGGTATGTGCCGTGGACGGCCTTGACCTTCGCTTCAGCCCAGCTCCTCTTTTGTTTTGCCCTGCTTACGGGGCATCTTCTTGCTGCTGCTGTCCTCCAGCTCTTTGCTCTTGTAGTAGTGAGGGGCCACTTCAAGCAGCCAGCCGCTCTCTATCTCGATCACCTGAGTGCAACAGAGGACAGAAGGCGAGTGGAGGTTAATCAGTGGACTGATACGCAGCCATGCCTGTAGTTAAATATTGTTCTGAAACACTGACACATCCTCATTAACCACTCGTACTAAACTCAAAGAAGAGTGCAGCTGGCTCCTTTAGATCTGAAACAAGAGAAAGGCTCATGCTGTGAAAAACAACAGAAAGCGCTGCAAACATTTGAGTTAGACGCCTGTTGGGAATAAAACAGCCACGGAAAAGACGACTACATGCTCGTTCTGAGATTCTGTGTATAGTCATCTGGCTCTTAGCAAGTTCTAAAATTATTTAAACAGCCTGAAATGGACAACAGCATGGCACATTACACTGTGTTACTATTCATTTTACAAAACTAAGCATTTAAAATGCATTAGCAGTGTGAAAACGTACAACCCTACTGCAGCCAGGTGCCACTAATCAAATACACTTGATTAACCCATCATTATTTACCAGCTGAGAGTCGCTGATATGTAAAAGCGTATAACTGAAAAAGTAAAACTGTATGACATGGCGAGCAGGCCAACCTGTCTCATGAACTCCTTGGTGGTGAAGACCAGCTCATGGTAGATGAGCCAGCGGGGCTGCTCCTCAAACAGAGAGCTGTTGGGGTGCACGTAAACAGTCTGCTGGTGCTTCACAGTCTTGTAGCCTCCTTTGCTCAGTCTGGCCGTGTGATAGAAATATCCTGCAGTCACCGCCTGCAGAAGGGGAGGATAAGAAGCAGTGGAGGGCAGATGGGTTAATAAAGCAGGGATTCCTGGCTCTGCAGGGACGAACAACAAGAAAAATACACAAGCGCTGGGCACAAAAAAGAACGGCGTTAGAATATAACGCAATGAACAAAGTGTGATTAGAATAAAACATTTACTCTTTATTAGAAGATTAATTGCTTATTAGAAGAACTCATGTCTGAAAGGAGATACTGGGGAGCTGCAGCCCAAAACAAACTTCCCATAACAGCTCAAGACTGTGACACAAACAGCAGATAACGTCTGTGGAGGGAAGAGAAGAGTCTTCACAAATTTCCATGTTTGCTACCTGCACATTAAGAAGTTACTAACCACACACAACAACCAACCATAAAGACAAGAACTTTGCAGGTTTGATTAACAATCTGAGGCTCTTGGTTAACACCATTATCAGACTCCTTAATCCTGCTATGTCTGCTTTTCCTGCTGTATCTTCCAATGACTGTGGAAAAAGTTCAAATTCAAGTGTGGATCCTTTCAACCTGCCCAAGTGTCTCATCCAGTTATGTTATTTGGGTTTAATCCGATTTCCCCAACAGATCTCGTTGATATAGTCTGTCACATGTGCCCATCTTTCTGCAAACTCGATATTATCCTAAAGAGATTCTACCTGTCATCTTCCAATAGCTTCTCACGGTTATAAAACAATCACAGCCAACATCTTCCGTGTGCTTAAAAAAACCCTCCTGAGTTGCCGGGTTTCAGATAACCACAGGTCCGTTCACAGCTGCTCATCAGCTCCTTCAGCGCGTTGTTGAAAACAAATAATAAATTCCAAACCGATTACCAAAGAAACAGCATTACTGAAAATTACCAGTGACAACAGTGAATTTTAGTCCTACTAGACACTAACCCCACCTTTGAGACCACCGATGATGCAGATTACAGAGCTGAGCCGGCGTCACTGGCACGGCTCTCTTAATGGTTTTCATACTTATTTGAATTCACATGAACAACTGTATGTTCTCATTTATATCTGGAGTCCCCACAGCTCAACCCTTGGACCAGTTCTGCTTTTTAAATACATGTCACCTACTTGTGAGCTTCAAAAGTATTTCTTACCTTTGCTGTGCTGATGACACTCAGACGTATTTTCTGTATTTAACCTCCTCTCTTACCTCTGAGGAAAACCTGAGGATCTAATGTTCTTTACCAAGTCACTACATCAGCACGCTCACCGCCAATATCAAATCTTCTGCTAAGAGCTTGGTATTACTTTTGATCAGCATTCGAAACGCTGATTTCTCAGAGCTACTGAGACCTGTTCCACACACTTGGTTCAGCCCATCCGCCCGGCTGAATCTGTGCTTGGATCTCCTGATCCTTTCTCCCACTGTGTGTAGCCACAGTTCATAGCTCCACACTTCCATACAAGCGTTACACATGAAGTACTGTGTAACAGTGTTAAATAAGAGTATTAATGATAACAACAATGATAATAAAGACTTTAATAATAACACCAACAACAACAACGATAAAGCAGAAGACGTGAGAAGCAGCTGCCACAGCACTGTGGCTGACTCAGCACATTGATGACTGGTTCCTCCAGTCTGTTGATCAGTACAGTACGAGTAATGCACTCCATTTACCTTTGGGCACAAGGCTGAAGAAGGTTAAACTAGGTTATTTTATGAGATACTCTTAAAAACAAGTTTTACAATCTTATAGTCTTTCAAACTTAAACACATTAAATGACTTTTTAAAAAAAAATAAAGCAGTGTTTTATGATCTGAATATTCAGGGGTTAGCTGCCCCATTTAACCTGAACTTTAACTTTTCTTTTATGTCACTTTTTAATTTATTAAGATCTCTGTTGTGTAATTTATCGACCTTTATATGTCTATTCTGCTTATTCAAGCTCTTCTGCTATAGGCTGTGTTTATTGTTTTGGCTGCTCTAGTGCAAGAATTTCCCTACTTTAAGGATAAACAAAGTACACCTTATCTCATCTCATATAGTTCAGCGTGACCAGAATTAGTCTAGTGCTGGTAGCACGGGGCACAGCAAATGAAATAAAAGAGTGAAAGAGCTCCAGGACTACGACATCAGCCATCCTGCCTGTAGGGAAGATTTTAGATGGGTTTAAATAAGAGCGAGGGGACTGTCTACCACTAACTCAAGTCTAAACCTTTTAACTTTCGCCGCTGTTATTTATAATACAATAGTGACCATGATTTAGAGCAGGGATGTCAAACAAAAGGCCTGGGGGCCTGACTCGGTCTGGTAAAGACTCCAGAAAAACATGAACTGTTTTGTTGTACAGCTTTTCCTACTGATAAAGACCTCCCCCATGGCCATTCACAATACACCAAAATAAGGAAGTGATGGATTTCTGTATTTTACACATTTACTTCTTACAATTGAAGCCCAAAGAGTTGTGCTGACTGATATCTTTATCATGTAAAAAACACAAGACTGTTGAAATAGCACTTCTTTGTCTAGTATTAAGATATCGTATTGATGATTGGAGTTTCACTGGCCCGATCCACATAACATCAAAGCGGGCTGCATGCGGCTCATGTAAATGTTTTTGACTTCCTTGATTTAGAGGTTCTAGCACCTAAACTGCCTCATGCCACTCAGGTCGGCTGACTCTGTTTGTTTCTGCTGAGCAGAGGTCAGGGCACATACGTATTTCAGACCATGCTCTTATCATTGCTTGGATTGAAGTATAATGAGTGTATATGTGAATAGAAAGTTGCTATATGTAGTCTTATGTGGATTTTTTCTGTGATAAAAAACTTTTTTATGCAAGTTTATTGTTGTTATTATATTGTTATTGTACAATTACAACTTGTAGACAGGTAGAGAAATCAGTTCTCGTTTAGCTGAGATGAAATCCTCTGATGTTACTGGATTGTGTGGAAAAACTCGACTGTTCTGCTTGAAACTAAAGGAAAAGAAGACAATCAGCACTGAGACTGAAACATCAGGGTCTGAGAAAGGATCCATGTGGGATTCACAAACAGAAACCATGGAGATCCTCTCCACAGTGAAACCTCCTTACAACACTCACACTTTCTGTAAAGTAGGCCGGGTGGTGTCGGGCGCCTTCATGGGCGTGCTGATAGTTGCTGACACAGCAGACAGACAGCGGCTGTCACGTACAAGTCATGTAGCATGTAACCTAACTGTCTCTCACTTTAAAATAATCATCAGATGACTGACTCGGCTTTTTATGTGTTGTGTAGAGGAGCTGAGAAGTTGATGCTTCCTGGATTTAAACGTTGGACACACACAATCCTTCTTACGCCAATTATCATTTAATATCATTAAGTAAGTTGTGCGTCGTCTTTTTTTCTATAAGCTGTAGGATGTTTGACTTGAGTGAAGGCAGCGTGCAAAGGGAAGAGGTGTGACTCAGCTAAGAAAATAAACGCCCTCTCCTTATCGCGAATACTTCAGGTGTTCACCGCGCACACAGGTACAGGTATGTGAAGGAAACTCACGCAGCTTCTGCCTGCTGATGATTTACAGGCTTCCTCTGACAGATTCTTGTACTCTTTTAGTTACAGAACCAGAATCCAGATTTCTTTAAAGCTTGTTATGTTGTTAATGTCTTGTCCTTGAGCAATATAGGAGCTGCTCTGAGCTGTACTGGAGCGTGAACGTGAAGCAAGTAAAATCACTGTTCACAGAAGAGGAAGACATTACAACAAAATCATCAATCTTGTGTCAGAGAAAAATGAAGCAATTTTTTGCCCTCGGGCCTTCAGATTATTTTAAATTTCCACCCTCCTGTGCATCACATTCACTGCACTGCATCACTGATGTTTACCTGTGAACATTCAAAGCAGAAGCAAATATGAAATGGTGTTGATTACTCCTCGAACAGGTCACTACCTACACTACGTTTCTGACATTGACTCCGTTTTATTCATCTTTCCGGTGGTTTTGTTACCCTGTTCTCTCCTCGCTCTCTCATTATGTCGTGAAACTCATCTTTACCTTGCATCGACTCCCCTGGATTGTTTGTACAATTCATTTGTTTCATTTCATCTTATTCGGTTTAATATTAATAGTTCTGATGTACCAATAAAAAAGTAGAGCATAGTGTCTTTTAAAACTACAGCTGCAGAAACAATTCCATTTAATTCTATGTATTTACTCAGGATACTTTATATTCTAAGGTAAAGACCTACAACGATACAGAGGACGAAAGATGATCTAGGTGAGGAGAACAATTTTAAATTTGATCTTGGATGTAACTGGGAGCCAGTGAATAGAACCAATATGGGATAATATACTCTCTCTGTCTAGTTCCTGTTAGTAACCTTGCTTTTAGAACAACCTGACAATAATGAATAATAATAGCACAGTGCAGAAGTAATAAATGCATGGACTAGTTTTTCACTCTGAAACAGGAAGTTTCTGTTTTTAGATGTTGCACAAATGCAACAAAGCAGTCTTACATGTTTGTTTAATATGTGCGTTGAAGGACATGTCCTGGTCAACAATGACTCCAAGGTTCCTCACAGCGTTACTGGAGGCCAAGGTAATGCCATCCAGAGTAAGAATCTGCTTAGAGACCATAGACATGTTGATTATATTTAATTTAAGCATTAATTAATGGTAGGACATTTTTCGACAGTCTTGTCAGAGTCTAGACGTGCTGATGATCCAGAGGAAGAAATTATTTAAGTTAACTCAGAAACATCAATTGGAGAAATCTGAATACAGCGGAACCCCGACTTACGAAATTAATTCGTTCATAAGTCCAAAACTTTCGTAAGTCGAAGCACCCATTGCGCGTTTTGAGTGAGGCGATGCTGAACGATAGGCTATAGGCTAATTGCCAACTAGAACAACAATACGTCGTTCAAGTGGAACAGCGAAGCACAAGTACAGAAGCCAAGGGGTTGTCACATCCAATCAGAGCCAGCGGATTTCGTTACTCAGGCATTTTGCTGTAACACGGGCAGAAATAATTAAAAATTATAATACAAATGAAGTTTTAAGAGATATAGTAAAATATTTCTATGCCATATATCAGAACAAGTTCCAGAGGGTGATGAAAGCAGTGGCTGGGCTGATTTATATGCTTCTGCATGGATGTTAAAAAACACAGAGCTCCAATATGCCCGATGAGGACAGAAAACCCTAAAAACAGCAACATCTGTTCACTAGGTAAATTAGCTGAAATTATTTCAAGGCCTATCTCCAATCATACGTGCACTACACAGTCTCTAAGTCATGTGGCATGTCATTAGTTGTTTTGATTTTACTGTCAAATTGGCAGATCAAAAATCAAAAATGGCAAATGTCGCGCTAGTTCCCAGTTTTCAAGATTGTTGCCACTCCACTAGCAAATACTTTGCTTCCATTGAGTCATCAAACACTTCACAAAATCAGTCTTACTCCCTCTGGTTTAGATCCAACACTCTGTAGAAGTAAGCCAGTTTTCTCTTAGAGGGATGTTAGATTTTACCCTCTGGCACAAGTGTTTTTCAGTCAGTTTTGAGAGTAAATGAGTACATACAAAAGTATCGACACACAAAAATGACAGGTCATTTCTATCTTCTTGTGCAGCTAATACTGCACGACTGCCACAACCATTTGGGAACCACTGATTTAAGGACAAAACTTTTTAGTGAATGTGCTTCCTGATGGCAAGAAACTTGCAGCTGTGAAACGTGGTCGGTTCCAAGTCTGATTTAGAAAATGTTCTCATTCTTCATTATATCCTGGTTGAAATATCTGACTGTTTAAAGGCCACGGTGCTAAAAACAGTTAAACCCGGCAGTGCCATTTCAGACTGTAAACAACATTAATAATATTATCAGCACAGCAACTTGCTGAGTCACAATGTGCCAGAGGAACCATCCCATCTCTTGAATAACCAGTTTCAGCTTTTGCTTTCAGGATGTGTCAGGATGTAAGTATGTAAAGAAAACACATCCACAAATAAAGACCAATTCTCTATCAAATGGTTGAGTCAGGGCATACCAAACCAGCCCTCGTAGTTTTTACTTTAGCATTGTTTTTATATGGACAACTCTCATTAATAACAATTAATAATTTAACTAACAATCTAACATTTATGTTTGTTGCTGCCGCTTTAAAGATGAATATAGTTACTTAGTTTGTGAAGTCCAGTCTTGAAGGCTTGATTTTTACATGTTAGTGTTCTGAAACCAGAAGACGATAACTGGGTGAGAGGGTGGAGAGTTAAAAGCAACCTTGCTTTGTAAGGAGAATCCATAATGTGCTTAAGTACACAGCACAGATACAGATGCCAGCTAATTAGTGCCTAATCTAATAAAATAGAGTGCTACATATTAAACAAATAGGCCAGAGTGCTTTCTTCCATTTGCGCAACATCTCTAAAGTTAGAAATATCCTGTCTCAGAGTGACGCTGCAAAACTAGTTCATGCATTTATTACTTCCAGGCTGGACGACTGTAATTCATTATAATCAGGATGTCCTAAAAACTTCTGAAAAGCCTTCAGCTGATCCAAAATGCTGCAGCAAGAGTCCTGACAGGGACTAGAAAGAGAGCAGGTTTCTCCTGTACTGGCTTCCCTTCATTGGCTCCCTGTTAAATACAAGGTCTTAATCAGGCCCCATCTTATCTTAATGACCTTATAGTACTATCCTCAAAAGTTGATTCTGTTCATCTGGACGTAGTGTTGTAAGATTGTAAGATGGCGAAAGATGCACCCTCAGGCTCTAATCGAAGAGGGGGCCTGAGGGTGCATCTGTCATCATCTTACAATCTTACAGTGCTGTGATTGCAGCCATTCCTCAACTCTCTGTGAATGGTATTCTTGGCCATTGATCAATGAACTTTGATCAGTGGTTGTTGATCAATGGTAATGAGAATTTGTATATTAATGATCAAGGAACTGACCTCCCAGCCCATTGTTCCCTCAGTGGGCTGGTTTCAGTCATTATGCAAATGTCCTGTTTATAAGATTGAAACCTGCAGTCAGCTGAGACTGAAGACGTCACCTGGATGATGACGAAACGTTTCTCCCACAAAACTCTACGACCAGATGAACAGGATCAACTTTTTGGGATTTACCTACCTGGATGATTGAGCATGCATCAACACCTTGTAGTACCATATCACCCTATTAGAGCACTTCGCTCTCGCTCTGCAGGCCTACTTGTTGTTCCTAGAGTATTTAAAAGTAGAATGGGAGGCAGAGCCTTCAGTTTTCAGGCCCCTCTTCTGTGGAACCAGCTTCCAGTTTGGATTCAGGAGACAGACACTATCTCTACTTTCAAGATTAGGCTTCAAACTTTCCTTTTTCTCGTTCTGTACAAGCTATAAATATCACTGGTATTATTTTCCCAGAGCGTGGCAGATAAGACAAGTCTTTGTTTGCAAAGTTATGCTCAATCTCAATCTGTGTTTCCATCTCAAAAAGGCCTCACTCAGCAGTGCTGCAGCTGTCAGATGAAGCTAAAGCCCAGAGTGGGACTAGCTGTAGTTCCTTATTAATATGAAGTGACTGATAATAAGACTCCATATTGTTGCCTGGGAACAGCTAAAGCTGTACTGTAGTTCATCAGTGTCACTAACCTTGCGAACGGGCACGCTGTCTCCTTGACAGCTGACCACCTCGACTTCAATGCGATCCATCAGACCCTCCAGCTGGTCCCTGACATCCCGGGCTCTTCGCATGGAGCGGAACTGGATGAAGTTCTCATAGCACCACTGTGTGGAATAACCACTCTCCACCCACTGTGGGAGGAAGATATCACAGCTGCAGTTAGCACACAATAATCAAACTGTGCTCTGAGCCAGTGCTGAGTGTGTTTCTTAAATCAGCCTCTAAAATGATGCACTGATACTTGTGTCTTTATCAGTGAGTTTACCTGAATTTAGATTGCCAACTTCAACACAGCATCAAATGTGTTTCTAAACGTCAAACATATCTCCAGCCCTGATGTTACCCGGCTGAGTTTATACCTGGTTGTAGACGTTCAGCAGCACCAGGTGGTCTCCTCCGGGCACCACAAAGTTCATTCTGGCGTTGTCGGCGTGCACCACTTTGTCTTTGGGACGGTAGAAGATAGAGTTGTTTACAGACAGCATGGCTGCGATCGTCAACACTTCCTCCGAACATTTGTACCTGGAGGAAAAAAAAAAAGTTCCCGAAATGAAATTCTGTGCGAGTCTTGAATTTATGCACATTTTTCAGGTTTTAAAGGAACTGTTTCACTCAACCTGCTTGCATGCTTTATCCCCACACATTAGACAGACGGCATTTCTTCCTCCACAGCAGACCTGCTTTCACAGGCCGCACATAATGTTTTTGTTTGATGTAAACACAGAAGTCCATAAGTTGAGTTTAATCCAATTTTAATCTCTACAGTCATGTTTTAACCTTGTGAATCACACTTTTGTTTTGTCATCAGTCTTGTTCCGCGGTGGAAAAGTGTCCTCAAACCCATATTTACCTTCATACTACTGAATGTTACAAGAAGGTCATGTAGAATCACTCATTCATCTTATTATAGCCTTCCTTCAGTTACTGCCACTGATCTCTAACTGGGATTTATCACATTTTCCCCTCAACATCATATGCTGTTAACTCTGAGACCACCTGAGTGTTAAGATGAGATGTTGCCCACCCTCTGAGACACCACCAGTCCTACACAGTCTTCATTTGTACTTCTGCTAATTAAAATCCTATGTATTCTTTTTTTAATTCTCTCTCTTTGTCTTTGATGAAACTGCAAAACGTGAACTAGCTGATCAAGTTTCCAACACTCTAATAAGTGTAAGTGTTTAATTCAGCAACGTTCTGCTGTCAAAGTGATGAACAATCATGTTTCTAACTGGTAAACATGGCTGATTCGCTGAACAATGACGTGTTGAGTTGATTGAATCCAGTCTTTCAGTCTGTTTCTCCGTCATGTGGAGGTTCAGCCACATGCTGCTCCAAACCAACTGCCCGTAACTGTATGAGCGTTATAAATCCTTCAGACCGGACTCAGGCAGACTTACTGACCACACTTTGTTAAAGTGCAACAGCTTTTTTGTTTATGGAAAGGGGGAAAGTCCGCACAGCTACAGATACGACTACCATGTGATTTTTGTTTTTGCAGGAGTAATAAACAAACAAAAAAAGGCTTTCATTTATGCATGACAGATTTAAAAGTTTCATAAAAGTGCATCAAAATTAATTATTTCTATTGTTAATATAAATGCTAATAATAATGGGAAATGATAACAACAGGTCAGACAAGAAATAGAGACAAAATGCATAAAAACGATTAAAATAGAAAGTGAACACACAGCAGTGTGAATCGCAACAATGGACTCTTCTCACTGTTGAGGTCTGGGAAGCGCTTCCGCTCCCTTAAGGCCAAAACAGAGAGAATGAGGAGGAGCTTCTTCCCCCAGGCTATTCGGGCCCTGAACCAGGTGTAGGACTGGACTCTCCCAAAC